ATCTAATCTGCCTTAGTTTGCCCCTCTGTAAAATGGGATAAGAATGATATACCCTCTGTGTTGTTGCAAATGACAGGATTTCCTTCTTTTCTAAGGCTGAATAATGTTCCATTGTATGCATATACCAGTCTCTTAACCCATTCACCCATTGATGGACGTTTAGGTTGTTTCCATATCTTGGCTACTGTGAATAACGCTGCCATGAACGTGGGAGTGCAGATGTCTCTTTGAGATCCTGATTTCAACTCCTTTGAATATATACCGGGAAGTACAATTGCTGGATCATACGGTAGTTCTATTTTTGATTTTTTAAGGAACGTCTACACTGTTTTCCATAATGGCTGCACCAGTTTACATCCTCACAAAGAGTGTACAAGGGTTCCTTTTTCTCCACATCCTTGCCCACACGGATGAAGCTGAAGGCCTTTGAAATAAGCCGGCCACAGAAGGGGAACTGCTGCAAGATTTCAGTAGTACAAGTTTCAGCTGTACAAGATGAATAAATCCTAGAGCTCTACCCTACAACATAATGCCTACGCTTAACAACACTGTGTCGTATACTTAAAACCTTGCCAAGAGGGTACATCTTATGTTGTGTTCTTATCACACACACACACAAATACTATTCCCCCACAGACTTTGGAGAGAAGTGATGACGTAACACGGATTTGTTGGAATGGCGCCGGCCCATGGCACTCATTTCTCTTAGGGATAATTATTATTAGAGCTTCTGTTCATCCTCCTGAATTCCTTTCTTAACTCTCCTTTCTGCTCATTCACTTATTTTCCATAGGTAGACTCCTTTATTCCAAAGACTCCTTTACCCTACCCTACTAGTTGTCATATTGGCTCCCACATCAATATCTCTAGATCTTTTCTTACCCCTTGACTCCTTTTTTACATTTGCAACCCCATACTTTCTACTTCCCATGGGTACCTCTATTTTAACTCATATAAAATAGAATTAATTGTCTCTTTTCCTGACCCAAATTTGCTCTTTTTTGCCTTTTTAGGGCTAATTTATATTGAGTAGAATACCAGCTTCTGAGCTAATATTTATTTTTCGTGAATGATTGCATTTCAGCCTTATAACAATTCTTTGTACTGGTATTTTTTAAATTGTATACATGAAGAAATGGAGGATCAGAGAGGTTAATCAACTTGCCCAAGAACACTCAGGTAGAAAAAGGTAGTTCCAGGACTTGAATTTAGGTCCATTCAGCTCACAAGCTCATTCCCCTCATCACTCTGCCGGGCTGTCTTCCAGGCCTTCACGTCTGGCAGAACTTTCCAAGCAGCCTCCCAAATTGAAGCAGCTTCACTTGATTCCTCCCACATTCTCATCACTAGATTCGATCTGCCACCAACCTGTCAATTCTACCTTGAAAAACATTCCTTTAATCTCTTGCCTCCTCTCTATTTCCAGAGCCGCTTTCCTTAGTGCGCCCGCTGGTTTTCACTCCCTCTGAGCTCCCACTGGGTCCTCTTTATCCAATCTTCACTTCCTGTTACTAGAAAAGTAGTCTTTGAAAATCCAAATCTGATTGTGTCATTGCCCTGCTTAAGAGCCTTCTAGAATATCCTTGATGGATTCAATAAAGTCCAAACTCCTGGACACAGCACAGAAGTTTCTTCAAATATCTTCAGTCTATCTTTCCAAGCTCATCTCCCACATCCCTGATCCTTCTCTTTTTGTCCTGTTTATACGTCTTTGTTACTGTGGGGAACTAGGATGCGCTCAATTTAATCAATCATTTGATCATATAAGGAAATATGTCTTCATTCAACAAGCACTTATTTTGTTTTTCTAAAAACTTACTCTAGTATTCCACACACATACACACACACAAGCTCACGTAATAACTGGTGAAATCTTAATGGTATTGTGTCAGTGTCAATTTCCTGGTTTGGATAATGTGCTACAGTTGAGTAAGTTGTTAGCAGCGGAGGAGGCTGGAGGAAGGGTACACAGGCTATCTCTGTACTATTTTTGGCAACTTCTTGTGAATCTATGATTATTGCAAATTAAAAAGTTTTTAAAAAAAATTAACATAGTATTTGAGTTTTCCACCCCGGAAGCAGGTTGAGAAAAATAGTAGACAAGTAAGTGCTATACCTTGAAATTATTATATTACTGTATTCTATAGCTTCTCTCGCTTGTGCTTTGGGCCTAGCCCATGAGGTATCTGCTGGATTTCACCCTGGAAAGGAGAGCAAAACCCTTTCTGGCAGCAGAGCAAAGGCTGGGCTTTCAAATTAGACAGACCTAGGCTGAAGGTCAACTCTGCTGTTTACAAACTAAATGATCTTGGGCGAGTCACTTATCCTTGAACCTCAGTTTCATCATGATTATAATAAATATGATAATACGATCTACTTCCTAAGGCTTTGGGGATATTTAAACAAGACAATGTATGTAAACAAGACAATACACTTAAACAAGACAGTATGTAAAGTGCTTGGCATATAATTAGCAGCTTTGACTTCCCTTTCTCTCAGTCCGCATCAGCAAACCGTGTTGGCTCTACCTTGAAAACATATCCAGAATCCTGCTACTTCTCACCTCCACCTGCTGTCATCTCAGTTCAAGCTACCATTATCTCCCGCCTGAATGACTCCAGCAGCCTCTTAACTGGTTTCCTTGCTTCTGCCTCGATACCTACCTTACATCTAAACACAGCAGCCAGAGGTATCCTGCCAAAATGTAGATTGAATTACGTTATTTCTTTGCTCAAAATCCTGCAGTGGTTTCTCCTTTCACTCAGAGTAGAAGGCAAAGCCCTTTGAAATGGCCTCCCAGCTCCCTGTCCTTCCTGCCTTGCACTCATCCACTCCCCTCTGAGGTCCTGTCCTTTCTTCTCCCCTCTGAGGTCTTGTCCTCTCTTTTCCCTGCTCACTCAGCCCCTGGGGAGCTCCTAGTCCAGAACCTTAGCACTTGCATTTCCTTTGCAGGCATTGTTCCTCGCCCAGATGGTTTGCTGCCACTTTTAAGTCAGTGCTCAAAGTCGTTCTCAATGGGCCCTTCTAATCACCCTATTTAAACTTGCAATCCCCATCGCTTCCTCGTTTATTATTGCTTTACCACTTTTTAACTTGCTATGTAACTTATTTATTGTCTATCTTCCAGAACAAGGGATGCAAGTTCCATGAAAACAAGTAGTTTTGTCTGTTTTATTCAGCACTATGTCCCAATGTGTAGAATAGTGCCTAGCACATAGTTGGCCCTCAGTAAAATCTTCCAAGTAAATGAAGGAATAAATTCCAGCATATGAGGAACACAAGCAAACCACAGAGGTGTGGAAGAACGTGGTCCATTCGGGACACTGAGAGCAGATGAATGCGATCAAAGTCGAATGCATGTATGAAGGGACCTGGTCTCTCGCCTTACTTTCCCAGAAGACATCTTGAAGAGTCCTCAATACCCCATGTCTTCATTTCCTTACCTCCCACACTCTCCTCACGTATTCCCAGTTCTTTTCTGCCCCCTTCACTCCACCACCAATAACCTCCAGGTCAACCACACCAGTTGTCATCCTATTTAATCTTTGGGCATGATTTGCCACTGTTGACTGCTCCCTCCTTCTTGAACCACTATTTCTTCTTGATTTTCCTTACACAATGCTCTCTTGGTTTTCCGCTCATCTCTCTGAATGCCTCCTCTCTATCTCTTTTGCAGGCTAATCCTGTCCTATTCATCCATTCAATGTTTGAGTTAATTAAGTTCCATTCTAGACTCTCTCTTTGCCAACTCTACCCTCTTCCTAATCTAGTTCATCTACTCTGTGGCTTCAATAACCACCTGGACCGAAATCACTCACACATTTATAGCTGTAACTCAGACTTCTGCTCTGAGCTCAGGATAGACTTGCCCCTTGGATGTCCCAAAGGGACTTACACCTAACATGTTCCAAACCATGCATGTGGTCTCTCCTCATCCAGCAAACCTACTCACTAGCCTCCCCCGATGTCAGCCTCTTTCGTCTCTTCAGCCCAGAATGCTCTTGCCTTCCCCCTTTGTCACAAAAGCCCCTCTCATTATCTAGAACTCAGCTCAATTGCCACTTCCACAGGGACGCCTTCCCTGAGTTTGTGAATGGGTCAAATCTCCCATGACATCATCTACCTTTTCTTCACAGCCCTTACCACAATTAGTGTTTCGTATTTGCTTGTGCAAGTATTTAACAAAGGTGTGGACCCCACCCCGCTGGCTAGTAAACTAGAGACAGCGGTGATGTTGTTTGTATGCACCCTTGTCTCCCCAGACCTAGCACAGTGCCTTGCAGGTGGTAGGGGCTCAACAAATATCCATTGCTTCTATTCTAGTAATAAAAATAATTATCACTACAAATTACTGAGCACCAGCCTTGCACTGTGCCTGACATTCATTGTCCCATTTAATCTTTAAGATATGCTTTGAGTTTCCATCACTGTGTTCATATACATATCTATGTATACCTACACATACACACACATATGTGCGTATTTGCATATATACATGTATTTGCATATATGCATATTTGCATATATGCATATTACATAATATGTATATGTAATATATCAAATGTATACATATAGCATGTATTTCAACAGGAATATATATATAACTATCACACTATGTGTACATATCTTGTTTTTAAAATGAGGAAATTGAGACTTAGCAAAGTTAAGTAACTATCACAATGTGCCCAAACTAGGACCTGAACACTGAGTCCAGTCTCCTTTCTCCATCAATATCCTGTACAGAAAAGATATGTTGGAGCTGTGGAAATATTTTCTAGGTATTATCAACTTAATAATTTACACACTTAAATTAGGCTATTTTGCATGATATGGACACATATGTATTTGGATCTTAAAAGTAGCTTGGAGAGAACTTTAGGTGACTTTTTAAAATGTGGCTCATCCTCTCTATCCGGACTTTACACTGGTCCAGGACCACATGGTGGCTATTGCCCATTTGGAAAGGATATTCCACAAAGGTAAAGGGGATTCGGACTCACCACCATTTTCGCTGCGCTGGTGCGTGTCCAGCCTTCTGACCCCCTCCAACCAGATGTCCTCACTCGGGGAAGAATCAACATCATCGAACCTACTTCCGTGCAGCCAGGATTCAGAGGGACTGAAGTTGAAGAGAGAAGAAAAAGAACGGCGGATTCTCTTTTTCTTTCTAAATATTCTGGAGGCAAACGAAAGTAGCGTGGTAAATAATGAATAGCCGTCACCTCAGGTTCAACACAGAGAATTCAAGGAAAGTAACTTGATGCACGGAGCACATCTCCACAACCCGGGTCCACAAAGCTCATTTCATTTGTTCCCTCCATTCATTCCACAGAAGTTTCTTAAATTTCTGTGTGTGCCACATGCTTGGATCAGTGTCAAGGATACTGAGATAAAAGACAAGACGTTGGGTACAAAAAGTTCCCAATCTAGTACAGGAGAAAGACAAGAATAATGTAGATGCAGCTAATGCTTTCATAGAGCTTCTTCTGTGCCAAGTGTCTTTCTTAGTGACTTACATATAGTAACTCATGCTATCTTTGGAACACCCCTGTGAGGTAGGTACTATTGTTACCCCATTTTTTAGATCAGGAAACTGAGGCACAAAGAGGCTAAGTAAGTTGTATGAGGTCATACGGCTGGTAAGTGACATAGCTGGGATGTTAATCGGGGCAGTCTGGCTCCATAGTCTCTGCTTTTGCTTTCTGCGCTCTGTAGGGGATATGCGCTCTGACAGAATTAACTGAAGGCTGCCCTGAGAGCACTGGGAGGAGCATTGCTAATCTCCTGGGATGGGAGAGCTCTGAGCTGCAGTGAAGGACAAGTAGATGTCATACAGGGTCATGCTAGGAAATGAGGCTGGAAAGGTAAAAGAAGGCAGGTAATGAAAACCTTGAAGGTTGCACAGAGGAGTTGAAATTTAACATTAGAGCAAAGGGAGACCACTGAAGTATGTCAAGGGCAGGGCGATGGTGGTGACATGATTTTCTTTGCATTTCCAAAAGATTTTGACGACTCACACATCCACACTCCTACAATCCATCCTCTACGTGGTAATCAGTGTTATCTCGCTCAGGATAAATCTGATAATTTGTCAATGGTTCCTCTTTACCCACAGAATAAAGCCCAACTCCTTAGCCTGGAATTTAACCCTCTCCATCCAGCCCCTGCTTCTGTGCTCAGTCTTCTCTCTTGCAGAATATCCCTTTCCACCCTAAGCTGGATCCTTACCAAACTACTCACCATTCTTCAAATTGTATCAGGGTCTCCCAGAGCTCCATGCCTGTTCTCTCTCTCCAGAAGCCCCCTTTCCTACTTCTATTTTAACTAACATCCTAACACCTCTCATGACTCAGATCAGGCATCCTCATCTCTAGGAAGCTTGTTTTTACCTGCCTTCCAAGCAAAATAGGCCAACGCTCCTTTTCCCTCCCTTGCACTCTATTCAGACGTCTACCGCGGCACCTGCATGGCTTCATTACTTTTGTTTGTTTTCATGTCAGTTATCCCTGCCCCTCATCAGCCTTTGTGTTCCCACAGTCAGGAGCAGCAATGGGCTCCTTATAAATGATTGTTGAATGAACAAATGAATGAGTGAATAATTAATGACTGGATTGGACTTCAGATTCTTTTATGTGCTATCTTCTACTTACCGAACTAAGTTTTCCTTGTACAGAACACTAGTCTGGGATGGGCTCAGAGTTATGTTGCCATCTTTGTCAAAGAGGAAACTGTCTTCTGTCCAAACGTAGTAGCCGTTGGTGAGCAGTCTGGGACTTCGGCGGCAGCTAAAGTGGGAGCCTGTCAGGGGATCTATGGAGCAGCATTCAAAGGAACTGTCACCATCCAGGAAATCACAGGAAAGACTACAGAGGGAATAAGGAAAGTCCTTTAAATCTCTATGCTGTCCACTCAGTCACACAAAAATCACATTTCTAATCACCGTGAAGGAAAGCACCTCTTTGCAGTCATGGCTACCAGTTACTTCTGCAGCTCTAAGAATGTCACTCTTAATCATCTGGGCTTCGTCTCCTTAGCTGACTGCATTGAACTGTATGCTATGTAGTGCTGCTTTCTGTTTGAAACACTTCAATGAAACAGTATGGCTCGTCAGTTTCTTCACCCTATGATGCACCTACACCCTTGACATTAGCCCATTTTCTTGGATGGAAAAAATTGCAAAATAGGCTATTTGGGATGTCAGGAGCTCGTAGTTTCTCCATTCCCCCTTACCTTGAACAGCCTTCCAATGGCTATGTCCTTACTCTTGTCACTGTAATAGGTAAGTTATAACTATGCAGCTGCCAGACACATATGAGTTATAGGGGGAGCATGCCATCAGAAAGCAAACATGCAAACATGGCAAACATACCTTTGCCAGTTTCCCTCTAGGTCAGCCGCACAAGTGACAGCTCAGTTACCTTCTCTGGTTTAGTATCCAGGCAAGTGTCCTACTGGATAAATCTGTTTGTGTCTTAGGTTTGAAAAACGACCACATGCCTGTATGATTGTAAGGCCAGCTCACACCTTATAATCTACTGAATTTCTGATAAATGTCTTAGTTTAAAAGCCTGTTCACAATTAATACATGTATTAAAGTTAGTAAATTATTATTTTAAATATAGATATCACTTATTGAAATCTTACTATGGGCCTGGCCCATACTTCACGCTTTATCTACTTTTCACAAACCTCCCTAAAAGCTAAGTATTATTATCCTCATTGTACAGCAGGAAAAAAAATGAGACAGAACGGCAAATAACTTGGATATTTTACATAGCTAGTAAATGGCACAGCTAGGGTTTGAACCCTGGTCCATATGCCTCTAAAGCATGTGTTCTTGCCACATGACCTGCTTGCTCATCCTTGGCTGGTTCATTTGCTAGTAGCAGAGGCCTAGAATTTACAAAAAGGGTCAGGTTCTAATACCAACGCATGGTCCCTTTGTACCATTGGCACATTTCAGAAAATGTTAGAGGAAAGATCAACTGATGCTCGTGTAAGGAATAAAAGACAGGCGGAAAGAAGAAAAAGGAAGGGAGGAAAAGAAAAAAGTCTTCATTGCAGAACTTGAACAAAGTGGTAGACTCTCCATGTGGAGCAGGAAATTTGGCTAGCTTGTGCATTGGTATAGAATCTCGTTGCCCTTGTAAAGTGTGATAGAAAAGCATATTTATGAGAACTCCAATTTGAGAAACAGTAGCCATACATCAGTATTCAGTAGTTTCTCCACTCACCGAACAAATAATTTGCATCCACCCTTCCCCCTCAAAAATTCCATGATTGGGTTAGGCAAGTTTTCATTTTGTATGTGCATGGGACTGAAAAGATAAACACATACAAAAACTGGATAATAGCTAAAACTAATATTTTTAAACCGAGAATACAACAAAATAAGGCATGCAGGAAGAGAATTTGGTTGATCATTCTTGAGAAAAGTCCCATGGGATACCTTCGGAAAATGCATGTGGGAGACGGCTTTTCAGCATGTTCTTTCTTGGATCCAGAAGAACCTGCATAAGCAAATGAGAGAGAAGTACAAATTTATCACATCTCACCAACATGCATGATTGCCAACAGGAAAGCTGGTAGAGAAGGTGTGAATAGTTGGTGTCCCAGCCTCGGCAGAGACGCCAACTGGTACAGCCACCCAATGAATCAGTACTAACGCAACTTGTCACCAGGCCTCTACAGAAAGCAAGAATTAACCTAGGGGCTTCTATCTTCTGCTTCTTATCTCACTCATCACTCCTGTGGAGGTGCCTGAGTGCAAGATGAGGCGATAATAAATCATTAACCTCAAACTGACTTGTGAAAAGGCTGAAGAAAACACCTTGTGTGAAGCTGTAGAAAACCAAAATCAATTACCCAACGTGCTGGTTATTTTAGCTTGCCCAGTAATTTGAGGAATTCAGTCATCTGCCTGGACTCTCTTTCAGTCGTGCATTTTAAACTACTTCTATTGTAAAAGTAATGAGCAAAAAGACGTTAGCGGAGGAAAAAAATAAGGTTTTGCCTTGTTTTATGGAAATGATTTCCTAATGTATGAAGCCTGAGAGCATTCTTAATTTAAAAAAAGCATGCATTCATTCATTCCAGTTTAACTGAAGGTATGGCAACAGATTTCAATTGGGAGAAGTCGCTCTTGATTAATATTCTAAGCTTTAAAGCAGAATTCTATATTGTAGAGTAATGGTGTGAATTCTTCTAACAGACAGGCTCAGTGAAACTTCACTCCATTACTGACAATTAATATCTAAGACAAAGAAAGGAATTTATACTTGCAGATTGGGCTGGTTGATTTGTAAAGAGAAAATTGTAGGTGTGTGAGGGAGGGTTAGAAGCAGAGTGTGGGGAGAAAATGATAAGAGGAAGGAAGAGACTTGAAACCACTACTGTTTTAGCAACGCCCTTATTTTCTGCAAGTAGCTATCAAAATCATTCAGTATTTTTTTTATAGACAAACAGTTTTGCATCTTAATAGTGCTGATAAACGATCTCCTTTCACATTGATGCATAGGCATCTAAAAAAAAAGTGGTGATTTTTTTTTCTACTAAAAGGAAAAATACCACATTTCTATCAAGGAAAGAAATGAAGTCAAAATCATTGCCAAAGTGAGCACTGGCATTTAAGAAGCAGAAGCTCCTGACAGATGGTTAATGGTATGAGTATCAGCAAAATCAAAGCAAGGAAATTGCTAAAAGCAGTCTAATCGTTTGAAAGATAATTGCGTAGAGCGGTTCTCTTACATTTGCTTGCGACTGGTGTCGACATCAGTTGAGAAATTTGGTACATCTTGGGAAGGCTGCTTGTTCAAACTTCACAGATTTTCTGCAAAAGACGTTTTAAAAAGGTGGATTGCATGTTAAAAATAGAAAAATGATGCCAAAACAGATGGCATCTACTAATTGCACTAGTCAGATTTGTTTACTGAAACAATACAGAGAAAGAAGATTGAAAGCAGGAGACCGGATTGAAGAACCACTGAGGTTGTGTCTGCCTCTCTGATTTTATACTACATTTTCTGTTGTCTTCCTCAGTGCACCTAAACCATCTTTTTTCTGTAAATAGGAGCAAGATTTTATTTGGGCAAGCTAGACTGATGAAGGTTGACTTGTAACTAAAATAAAACAATGAAAATGAATTATTTGATTAAGAAATTGGAAAAAAGATTTGTTCTAGAACCCTCTAAATTAGGATGTTTGTATTTTCATCAGCCAGCACACATCAACCTTATCAAGTTTCAAACAATGCTTGGGGATTGGTGTCTGTCTTTTACTCAACACCAGAAACCATTGACAGGCAGGCAGAGAGAAGGCCAGTGATCTTTTGTAGTTGATATCAGCCTGGACATTCCTAAGCAGCATCAGCAAGATTGCACTAAAAATAGTACACCACTGGGCAGATTTCAAAACTCAGTTCTCATGAACATATAATTTACTTTCTCAAGTACAAATTAAACATATATCCAAGTGTGTAAATTATGTAAACTTTGATCACTTCCACTCATCACAGAGATCTACCTTCTGTTGACTATTTAACTTTGTATATATCACTGCTCTAATAGCTTTACAAGGTAGAACTAAATTCTTTTCTGATTCATCACCTCCATCCACATTTTTAAAATCCATAACTAGTAACGGGTTGTGTTTGTAGTTGCCATACATTAAATCAATAATTTAATTCTACAGCTCCAAATTGATTCTTTCAATAAAGCATGTACAAAACTTGCTAGAAAATATAGATCCTGGCTTTTAGAGACCTTTAGAGAAGTCAAGTGAACTTTCTGGCATTCCTTGGAAAATCTCTAAATCAAAGCACACATTCATAGATTTCATTGGTTTGGAATAAAAAACAATATTGTTTGCACTATAATATAACAGTATGTCACTTGTTCTTTTGATTTTTTATCAATACAATATGAACATACAATATGAAATTAACCTATGTTAGTTTTTCCCAAGCATTAAGTTTAATTTTAGGCCAATAGTCCTGAGGCAAAAGCGAGCTCTTATTACTGTATCTTACAAATGCTTGCAGCAGACCACAGGCAGTATACTAACCGGCTAGTACTAGTAACACAGAAAAGGACTTTAGTTACAGCTCTAAACTTTTCAAGAAACACATCCCATCTACTAGTTCCATCAAAGCAAGACATCTGTTCTGAAAAATAATTTGCTCATACATGTTCCTTCCAAAGGGAGCTCCCAGTCTCTTTTCCAGTTGATAAATGACAAAATAATTACTGAACTACCGAGCTTCCTGTGGTTGACAGCGGAGAAATCCAGGACTTAGCAGTTCTTCAGCTGAAAGTAACGTCAGAGCGTCAAAAGGCGCAGAAGTCTCTCAATAAAGGGGAATCCCATCTTCGTCTCCTTCTAATAGACGGCTGCACATATGGCCATGTGCAAGTGTTTACAGAGAAGTTCTGTCTGCAGCGGCCTCTTGTTCTTTTGGCTGTCTCTAGAATAGAAGAGCACGTACTTCTTGGGAAAGTCAGCCGTACAACTGCTCTTGTTTTCTTTCAAAATCAGCTTGCGGAACCTGAGGCTGAGAGGCAGAATGAGGTCACACTTCCTGTTGGGCTCACATCAGTGGTGGTATTCACGCTGAGGCGCATGGTGAGGACTCAAGATTGTCTCACCAGCAGCGGGGGATGTGCTGCCCATGAGTCAGGCCAGCTGGCTACATCATGGTCACTGGAAGGATGCTTTTCTGAGCTAACTTGTCACCCCTAGCTGCGAGAACACAAGAAAAACTTTCAGAGATGCAACACTTCTTGGTTATCATCGTCTGGCCATTTTCAGTATGAGTAGTGCTTTGTCCAAATCAATTAAATTTATTGGGGATAATGCACTGATGCTCTTGAATTCAGAATATGATGAAATACAAGGAGCTGGATCTTCTGAAAATGTCTGCAGGGGCAACATGTTGATCCACCGAAGTCTGGGCTTTACAAGAAACTCTGTGGGTGGCATTTCACATTTTATATTTATATTTTAGTAGAGATCAAAGAACTTGATGCTGTTGATGGCTCCCTACAACTCTCTGGTATTGTAAGTGATAAAAGAAATACACATTCCAGCAACAGAAGCACATTGTGTTGTGGAAAGCGTGTGGGTTTTGGAGTCACATGGACTGAGATTCAAACCCTGCCATACTGACTGTATGTCTTCAGATTTATGACTTAACCTCTTTGAGTTGCAATTTTATCAATTATAAATGTAATAGTATATATTTCACAGGATGACCTGGAGAATTAAATGAGATAAAAGAAATGAGAAATAAGTGAGTCCTCAGCTCAGATGTGCAAGATGTATTCCTTATCTGTTTTCTGTATATCAACTTCTCTTCTGAGGCCCCAGTTGGTCAAGCTGGCAGAAAAGTTAATCTCATTCTTTTTTGGGGTTCCCTGTCCCCCCTAGGTTAGGCCACTGGCAGGATCTTCTGTAGGACATGCTCCGTGCAGCAGAAGTTATTAGGAGGAGAGACCATATAGTCTGTGGTAGGCAGCTTTCAAAGATGGCCCTCAAGGATCCTTGCGTAATCCCTTCCCCTTCAGTGTGGGCTGAAGCTAGTAATTTGCTTCTCCTGAATAGAATAAGACAAAAGGGATGGGTTGTCACTACCATGATTAGATTGCAAAAGACTATGGCTTCTGCCTGGCTGAACTCTGTACTATCTTCTTGGCTTACACACTTTCATGAGGCAAGTGGCCATATTGGAGAAGCACCCATGGCAAGGATCTGAGCTCTTCTCAAATCCCAGTGAAGAAGTGAGGCCCTCAGTCCAACAGCCAGGAATGCAGCCAACAGTGTGTGAGTGAGCCTGGAAATGGATCCTTCTCCAGTTGAGCCTTCAGATGACTTCATCCCCAGCTAACACTTTGATTGCAGCCTGTGAAGCACCCAGAAGCAGAGGAGCCAGTGTAGCACTGCTCAGATTCCTGAGCCACAGAAACCGGGTGATAATAAAAGGTGTTTTAAGGCACCAAATTTGGGGGTAACTTTTTACACAGCAATAGATAACTAATACATAGTCTTAACAAATGTTGCTTTCTGAGCCATCCATTATTCTAGTTTACTTGGTCAGTGTCTCTCTGTTGCTATTACATCATCCTTAGAATACAGGCACATTTATTCAAGGCTGAGTCTGGTCACTCTGCCCAGGTTTACCAGGTAGCTATTCTGCTCTAGAGCTGTTCCGGGAGTCTGGTACCCACTTTCCTGTAATTCATAGCTCTCTTTCTTCTCCTTCTCTTCCTATTTCTCCTGTTCTTCCTGTTCCTCATCCTACTCGTTCCAGCCTTGGTTAATGTCTTCTAGAGTAGGAGGGAAAAAGTTCAAAGTCCTTTTGACTTGTTCAAGACTCTCTGCTCTCCCTGTGTGCACTAGTGCCCTTTCCCAAAAGGTTGACATCAAAAAGACTTTGCTCTGTTCCTTTACAGATCGGGCACATGTTAGGATCTCATTAATGATCATAATAATTGCTAACATTATGGAGACCTTACTATGTGCCAGGCAGTGTTCTAAGCCCTTTACATATACTAGCACATGTAATCCTCATAGAGACCCCACAAGGGAGGCTCTGTTATCATCATTTTACAGGTGAGAAAACTGAGGCACAGAGGGTTAAATACCTTGCAGAAAGTCACATAGCCAGTAAATGGTGAGCTGCTGGAGCTGGCATTCAAACCCTGACAGGTTGGCTTCTGAGCTTGTGTTCTTAACTTACAAGTGATAATGATCACATCAAACATGTTTGAGTATTTCCTATGAACCAGGCACTATGCAAAACACTGTACATACTCCATCTTGTTTGAACCTCACACAGCCCTAGAAAATAAGTACGATTATTATCCACATGCAGGACGGAGGTTTAGAGAGTTTACAGGTCTCCCAACATTGCCAAATGCCGGAGCCGGAATTCCAACCCTGCAGCTTCCCCTTGCTCTCCTCTCTTTAGTTCCACTCGTCTCCTTGCTGTTCCTTAAGCATCAGACCTGTGCCTACTCCAGGATCTTTGCCTCACTCTTTTCTCTCTGCCCCGAATATGCCCCCAGTAGTCACAGGGCTTTCTTCCTCCCCTCCCTTAGCTCTTTATTCAACTGCCTTGGTCACTAACTCAATTGCCCTCCACACCCGCTCCCTGTTCTTTCCCTGCTTTATTCCCCTTAGCACTTTTCGCTATGTAACATACCTTCAACTTATTTTTTGTAATGCTAAATATATTCCTCAGCTACAATATAAGCTTTGTGGAGGCAGAGAATTTTGTCATTTTTATATCTATAGCTCCAGTATTAAGAATAGTGCCTGCCATATAACAGGTTATCAATAAATATTTGTAGAATCAATGAATAACTGAATTAAAATCTAGGGAGAACTGACTTCAGAACCTCTATTCTTCATGGTATAAATTAGCATTTCTCAAAGTACATTCCACAGGATGCTCAGTTCTAAGTTATTAACAGAAGTTATGCGGGTGAAAGGAGAAAAGGGTGAGTAGTTAATTTAAGCCTGCTCTCGCCACTTCTATTTAACATAGAAGTGGAAGTCCTAGCTAGAGCAGTTAGGCAAGAAAAAGAAATAAAAGGTATCCAAATAAGAAAGGAAGAAGTAAAGTTATCCCTGTTTGCAGATGGCACGATCTTATACGCAGAAAACTCGAAAGATGCCTCAAAACCCCCACAGACTGTTAGAACTAACAAATGAATTCAGTAAAGTTGCAAGATGCAAAATTAACATACAAAAATCAGTTGTTTCCATATGTTAACAACAAACTATCTGAAAAAGAAAATAAGAAAACAATCCCATTTTACTTTATACAATAGCATCAAAAAGAACAAAATACTTAGAAATAAACTCAACCAAGGAAGTGAAAGATTTGTACACAGAAAACTATAAAACATTGATTAAAGAAATTAAAGCAGACACAAATAAATGAAAAGACATCTTGTGTTCATAGATTGGAAAAATCAATATTGTTAAAATGTCCATACTACTGAAAGCAATTTATAGATTCAGTGCAATTCCTCTCAAAATCTCAATGGCATTTTTTACAGAAATAGAAAAAAACAATACTAAAATTCGTATGAAACCACAAAGACTCCTAATAGCCAGAGCAATTTTAAGCAAGAAGGAAAAAGCTGGAGCTATCACCCTTCCTGATTTCAAAATATATTACAAAGCTACAATAATCAAAACAGTATGATACTGTCACAAAAACAGACATATCGACTAATGAAACAGATAGAGAGCCCAGAAATAAACCCACTCATACACAGTCAGCTGATCTTTGACAAGGGTGTCAAGAATACACAATGAGGCAAGGATAGTCTCTTCAAAAAATGGTGTTGGAAAAGCTTGTTATCCACATGCAAAATAATGAAATTGGACCCTTATCATACACAAAAATCATACACATCGTACACAAAAATCAACTCAAAATGGATTGAAGACCTAAACTTAACACCTGAAACTGTAAAACTCCTAGAAAAAAAATCAGACAAAATCTTCCCAACATTGATCTTGGCAATGATTTCTTGAATATAACACCAAAAGCACAGGCAACAAAGGCAAAAATAGACAAGTGGGACTACCTCAAACTAAAAAGCTCCTGCACAGCAAAGGAAACAATCAGCAAAATGAAAAGACAACCTACTGAATGGGAGAAAATATTTACAAACCATAGACCTGATAAAGGGTTAATATCCAAAATATATAAGGAACTCCTTTAACTCAACAGCCAAAAAACCACAAACAACCCAATTAAAAAATGGGCAAAGGACCTGAATAGACCATTTCTCCAAAGAAGGCATACAAATGGCCAACAGGTACATGAAAAGGTGCTCAACATCTCTAATCATCAAGGAAATGCAAGTCAAAACCACAATGACACATCACCTCACATCTATTAGAATGGCTATTATCAATAAAACCAAGAAGATAACAAGTGTTGGTGAGAATGTGGAGAGAAGAGAATCCTTGTGCACTGTTGGTGGAATGTAAATTTGTGCAGCTACTACGGAAAACAGTATGGAGATTTTTCAAGAAATTAAAAATAGAACTACCGTGTGATCTAACAATCCCACTTCTGGGTATATATTCAAAGAAATTGAAATCAGGATCTTGAAGAACTATCTGCCCTTCCATATTTATTACAGCATTATTCACAATAGCCAAGACACAGAAGCAACCTAAATGTTCATTGATGGATGGATGAATGGATAACCTACAATGAAATATTATTCAACCTTAAAAAAGAAGGAAACCCTGCCATTTGCAACAAATGGATGAACCTGAGAACATTAAACTAAGTAAAATGAGCCAGACACAGAAGGACAAATATTCCATGGCCCCACTTACATGAGGAATCTAAAAGCATCAAACTCACAAAATCAGAGAGTAGAATGGTGGTTGCCAGGGGCTAGGAGGAGGAGGAAGCAGGAAAGTGTTGGTCAAAGGGTACAAAGTTTCAGTTATGAAAGATAAGCAACTCCTAGAGGTCTACAGTATAGCGTAGTAT